CCCCCCAGGGGGTCCCCGCCCCCAGGGGCAGGGGTCGCCTTGCCTCTGCTCCATCTTTTGTCTTGGCTGTGTGGTTTGGCAACCCTGGGATGGTGATGGTGCAGCGCAAGGCTTCTATGCTCTCTGCCGTGGTGGGGTACCTGTGCTGCTGTCCCTGCTGTTGGGTCGATGTGTGTGGGGCTGGATTGAGGGGCTGAGCCTGCTGCTGGTACCAGCTGGTGGCCAGTTTGGAGCTGCCTGTGTCCTCCTGCCCACTGTGTACCCAGAGGGCCAGCCTCTCTGCTGTCTCGAGCTAGGCCCCCCAGCACAGAGCCCTAGGCTCTTTGGGGGTCCTCCAGCTGCTCAGCTGTTCTGGTCCCATTTCCCCTCTGGTCAGTTTGGGATCAGCTCTGCTCAATGGATTTTGGAGCCAGGGCAGAGATCACTGCCCCCCTCCTTCTCCTGCATGGATGTAATGAGCAGTGGTGAGCAGTAGCTCTTCCCAGCCATCCAAAGGTCACTGGGATGGAACTGGGATGTTTTCCAGGGGACAGTATCATCACTGGTGTCTTTGGGACAAGGAATGTCATTTCCAGGTGCATGAGCTGAGTATGAAGGTCTTCAGGCAGCATCCTGCCCTCGTGGGATGGGACACTGGCAGGGAAGGGTCCCTCCCAGGAGCTGCAGGGTCTGCCTGGTTCCAGGGGCTGGATATTGCCCCAGTGAGGGGCTGCTCTGGGCCTGTTCCTGAGTGTCCCCACCACAGGCTGGCTCTGGGGGGACTGTCCCGACTCTGCCAACTGCCTTGAGTCAACCCTCCTCTCTCCTGCTCGCAGAAAATCATTGGTGTCTTCAAGCCCAAGAACGAGGAGCCATATGGGCAGCTGAACCCCAAGTGGACGAAGTGGCTGCAGAAGTTGTGCTGTCCGTGCTGCTTTGGGCGGGACTGCCTCGTCCTCAACCAGGGCTACCTGTCGGAGGCGGGCGCCAGCCTGGTGGACCAGAAACTGGAACTCAACATTGTTCCCCGCACGAAGGTGAGGGGAGAGCTGCTGGAATCTCGTCCTGGGAAGGCTTTTGTGTGCTTCTGCGCTGCTCTGCTTGTGCCCTTTCTTGTGGCACTGCTGACCTCGGAGATGTGGTGAGAGCCCTGGACCAGGACTACTCCTGCTCAGGCTGTGGGGATCCTCGTGCTGGGCAGAGCCGTGGGAAATGCTGTGCCTTGCTTTTATCAGCCAGTGCTGTGACAGTTGCCAGGTGCCCCTGCTGACACCTGTGTTCCTGTCCCCCCAGGTGGTGTATCTGGCCAGCGAGACCTTTAACTACAGTGCCATCGACAGGGTGAAGTCCCGAGGAAAGAGGCTGGCCCTGGAGAAGGTGCCAAAAGTCGGCCAGCGCTTCAACCGCATTGGTCTGCCACCCAAGGTAGGGCTGCTGGCCTCTGCGCTCGCCTGTCCCCGCTCCTCTGTGGCCTCCTGTAACGCAGCCTCTCCTTGCTTCAGGTGGGCTCCTTCCAGCTCTTCGTGGAAGGCTACAAGGATGCTGACTACTGGCTGCGGCGGTTTGAAGCTGAGCCGCTCCCAGAGAACACCAACCGGCAGCTGCTGCTGCAGT